AGAGAGAGAGAGAGAGAGAGAGAAGTAGAGCTGCTCCAAGAGACCTTTAATTAAACTGTTCCAAATGAATATGACTATAAACTAAAATGATCTTTTTTATGCTTACCACGAACGCATCGCTGCATCGTTTCCACATTTGTTATCGGCATTATTTAATTTATACGGCCCATATAAGTTTCAATTTACGGACAATAGATAGTCTTTATCTTTAACTAACATAAATAATAATAATATGCTTGCCAAACATGTGCTGCTGTGTTTTATAACTTCTCTGCTGGTTTTAAAGTTAAACTTTTCGCTTAGAGATGATGGGGCACAGCAAGTTATACAGACCTTTCCCTCCCAGGCACTTGACTGATAGGATGTTCTTGCAGGAAGTGACCCGCTATTTTGTCTTTGAGCAGCACAGGAGACATTCAGGGCAGCATATCCTAGTTCATAGTAGTTGCCAACTTAGATTCGTACAAGTACAAACGTTCTATCTGCTCAGTACCTAGACCTAGTTGTGAGAAATGCTTCGTCAAAAATTTTGAGAGTCTCCCCTTGTCAAGCTTTTTTTAATGCAATGCAATGCTTTGAATATCCTGATAACGGCGACGAATAATCTGACGATTTTTATAGAACAGATAGAGCATACTATTTTGGTTTCGGGCATCTTGGTCTTGAGTAACTCAAACAGCCTAAAATGTCAGTACTTTGTTATTCTACGGTAGCGAAGAGTGATTCGTGGTGTTTACGTCATCTGTATATGTGTGTGTGTGTGTGTGTGTGTGTGTGTGTATGTGTGTGTCTGTGTGTGTGTCTGTGTGTGTGTCTGTGTGTGTGCGCGTGCGTGTGTGTGTATGTTTGTGTGTGTGTGTTTGTGTGTGTGTGTGTGTTTGCGTGTGTATGTGTGTGTGTTTGTGTATGTGTGTGTTTGTGTGTCACAGTGTGTGTGTGCATGTGTGGGTATGTGTGTGTACGTATGTGCGTGTGTATGAATGTGCGTGCGTGTGTTTCAAGCCTTAAAATGTTAAATTTTGTCCTCTTCTCAGGTTCACAATAATCTCTGGGCTTTGAACTAAGTTGGAAACTTCAAATTAACTTTCCTTTTGTTCATTTGATCAACGTTCTTTTCAGCAAAATCCACGCAGGAAGGTGTTTTTTAATGGGCATAGAATGTGTTGAGCCCAAAACAAAATTTCCAAATTTTTTTTGAATTGCCCAGACGGCGGAAAAATGTCGATTTCTTCGATTTCATTTAAATTTAACGAGCGCCTGATTCCATCCCGTCGTGACACGATTTAATTTACAGTTTCCAAGGATACTCAAACTTTCATCAACAGATGTATGAGGAGTATTCTAAGTATTAAGAGGCAGGATAGAATAAGAAATGAAAAGCTGGGG